AAGTTTTTTTTTTTTTTAATGTGGGAGGAAACCGGAGTACCCGGAGAAAACCCACGCAGGCCCAGGGAGAATATGCAAACTCCACACAGGGAACCTGGTACCTCTGCATTGTGAGGTCGATGCGCGAACCACTGGACCACAGGGCCGCCCCTTTGGTATACAGTACTTTTATAAGCACGCCATTTTAGAAAGCCATGGACTGTCAGGGATTATCCTGTCGCATTGCCAAAGAGTTTTAGCAGCCTTGAGCGACACCCCCCATTGGAGTGGACTTTTTATTTTCATTCAAATATATTGAATTATAAATAAATACAAAGACAGAAACAGCAAAGAATATTGAGAATGAAGGAAAAAGAGAATCGAAAATAAAAAGTATCATCTTTTCAAATGAAACAAAATGACGGAGAGACCAGACAGGAGTATTTTCCAAGCATTCCTGCAATAAATGACTGCAGCCAACTTGACCGCCAATGTCACGTATGCGTGTATGAGTGTGTGTGTGCGTGAGTGTGTGTTTGCGGACCCTGACAAGAGATAACGCAGATATATGCTTTATTTAGCAGTGTAAACACTCCTACAGGCTGTTTGTCGTGTTTGGTCAACGTGCTGTGCGTTCTAAAAAACAGCAATAAAACGTTTCTGCACCAGCGCATGCAAACAAATACAATAAGAGGGTTGTCACTGAAAAGGGAGATGTCAGGAAAGGGGTGGAGGTGGGAGTAGGTCCCGCAGCCCCATATGCTACTTCTCTGTTAAATCCGTTCATGCGTTCTGCGTGTACTTGTGGGGGCGCTTCCTTTGTGCCACTTTAGCACACACTCAGATTAATGTCATTAGAGTTTGTCAGCGGCACCCCGCTGTTACAGATGGTGCCAGTTACAGGAAACGGGCAAAGAAGATAAACATGGTTCACGATTATTGAATCGCTTTACAACGCAAGCATAAGATTTGTACATGTTTTGTGGTTTTGATACTGTACTATTGTTCTCTCAGGTGTGGTGCTCCAAAAGTGGTGCCGCTACGTATATTAACACGGCAAGTCATTGATTACACGCCACACTGAGCAGACGGACTCCAAGGAGAAGTGCATGAAGCCATCAAGGCTCTCAGAGGTGGAGCGGGTCGGGACTGACGAGCGCAACACATGTGCTGAAACGTCCCAAACTGTCGCTGACATTTTTTTATGGAAATCACACGGCATATCGATTCAGTTTTCAATTCTTTCAGTTTTGTAGGGCACCAAAAACAACGAAAGAAGAGTTGATACCAGTTTGAGGTGCCTCTATATCAACACAAACAAGTTGAGAGTTTCCACTGAATTTCACAGTCATCATATTAAGTAGCTGATATGCTGTTAGAAATGCATATTGGTCAAGCTCGCGCACTTTTTGGAGGGAGTTAATTTAGTGCAAGCACGTACTGTACATGCAAACAGCATAAGTGAGCTTGCCAACAGTGTCATTGGAAGTGACAATTCCAAGGGCCAACCTGCTTGTCGGCAGTGCCGGACCACTTTGTCACATCACCTTTTCTTGCATTTTTAATTCCTGTAGTTGTGATGACCGGGTGTCTCAAATAACATTGTGGGATTTCTTTGTGTGTGTGGCACGAGCTGTATCACTGGCATTGTTTTTTTCCCCCCTTTCATTCACAGCATCTCATTTAGACATGATCATCACTCACACTGTGTGTGTATAGAGGGTGGGGCAGAGTTGCTGAGTTGCTTTTGGGGAGGAGGGGACTGAAGTGGCCAGTGACTCATTGCAGGAACTATCGTGTTCTCAAAAGGAGGGAATCCCTGTGTGTGTGTGTGTGTGTGTGTGTGTGTGTGTGTGTGTGTGTGTGTGTGTGTGTGTGTGTGTGTGTGTGTGTGTGTGTGTATATACGAGAAGGATTAGTTATTACTTGGCCAGCAGATGGGGATAGAGTACAGCTTTTCTTACCTGCTTATTTATATAAATATGCACTTACAAATACACACACGCGCACGCACACGCACCCACACAAAATTTGGAAGTAAACGACTTTTTGTCTCTTTCACTTCCCTGTACTATTAAACCTGGTAAAAGCAGAAGAGCCCACTTCTACTTTTGCACAACGACAACACAAACAAAGCAATGTAATTTAAACAAGTGCCCGCACAGTTCCAACACATGGGAGGAAGCTTCGGTGATATTTGGGCATCTGTACATCCTGCGCCACAGGAATACATTCATAATTCAGGATCTCAAGCGAAGCTGCTTGTGTCGCAGGGTAACCATGGAAACCGTGAGTACACTAATGGGAGATGGCTGAGGGTGAGAGCTCAACCAAGCCGAAACCAAATCGTCTGCGTCCAGCAGAGCAGAAAACAAGCGGCACGCTCATACAGTCGTGGGCACGCGCATGTGTGTGAATATATGAGTATGTGTGTGTGTGTGTGTGTGTGTGTGTGTGTGTGTGTGTGTGTGTGTGTGTGTGTGTGTGTGTGTGTGTGTGTGTGTGTGTGTGTGTGTGTGTGTTCAACCGGTTTGCTCATCTTTGTTGAAGGCTTGCACCTCTACTCTGACTGTAAACTGGATTATGGGGGCGAAAAGAATCTATGGCGAGCACCGAATCCCAACACTGGATGAGAGCGGCCTCCAAAGTTACACGCATGACAAACAATGTTTCAGCAAAGCCAAAACCTACTTTCGCAATCAATGATTTATGGAACATTTACACATGTCACAATTCCTCACGAGTCAACAGATTTCCCGGCCAGAATCCGCTACTTAACAATGGACCACGCCTCATTCGTGTTGCATATTAACTTTATGCAAACGTACACCCACGGGGATGACCTCCCTGTGATAACCCATCCTGCGTGTGAGAATGTGGGGGTGTGCGTGTCAGTGAGCGTGTGTGCCTGTCGGGGGTCGGCGGCGGTGCGGGGGCGGGGGACATAAGGGAGCGTTCTAGTTCCAGATGTGTGGAACTCACCAGACAGGCAGAGGCCCTGCACAGGAAATGGATAAGCGACTTGAGGGGTCCCTGACTAAGAGAGTGCAGACAGGTCATGGTACAGTCACCCTAAACAAACCAAGTATACAGGGTGATTCAGTGTCAGTCAGATCAGTCACTCTGAGACACACAATGACTCAAATGTTAGTTTACCGTATGTCTTTTATGAGGCCAAATAATAATCCCGTTTACCTACCTATCATTCATAATAAAGACCAGAGCAAAGAACATGTGTCATTGCGATGCATCATGTACAATATCTAAAGTCAAATTCAATGGGTTGTGGCCTCTGTGTGACCGGAGAGAGGCCTTTATGTATAATGGATGAATGTGCGTAATAAAACATGAGATGAAGAAGAAGAATCCAGGATGAAGCTGCTTTGTGTTGACAGCTTGGCCAGGATGAGAGAAGAAATAGAACGGCAACACTGCCCCCTGGTGGCAAAAGCATCCTTTTGTGATGAACTGAGCTTTCAGCTTTGTCGGATGTTTTGCATTTTTTGGGGGGTAGTTTCTGGTTAAATTACAAATGTGGCTTGCAGGGGTGATGTCTGCTCAACCTCAGTCCATTAATGAATGATGCAGCTCCAAAATCAATCCATGCAGCAGGGACCTGGACTGTGTCGCAACTGAATGGCTTTTAAGGGATGTATTTGTGCGGTTACCATGGAAATGTCAGTACACGGGCAGCTGTGGGATTTTTGTTGCAGGATCTCACACATAAACAACGCCCCAATCACAGTTGACAGTGAGCTTATGTGCACCAGTGCAAACACATTCAAACCTCTCACATTGAAGAGCTCCAAGTTCACCCCCCACACCCCCAAAAAAACCCTTCTCTATGCCAGACACCACACACAAGAAACCTTTTGTCAATGTTTGCAAACAATAGGCGCCAATATATTTCCAGGTGGAAGACAGTGATGGACTACAGCTGATGAGAATTGAAAATAATGCATGGCATTGTACAACTAGATTTATCCAAGAAGGTTCGGTGTTTTCATTTACAATGAACACCATCTAAATGAAATCAGGGAAAAGTGTGGCTGAGGACAATTAATCGAGAAGAACTTAGTAAATAGTTGTTCTGAGACGATCATAAGACTTCCCGAAGAGCATAGTAGACACCTTGAAAGGGACAAGCTGCATCATGGGGTTTGTGGAAAGCATTTTCTCACAGGCTAGCCTGAACGTTAACAATAGCTCGCGTTTAGGCAGTGTTAATGCATTCAATCCATTTTGCAGTCAAAGCATCTCGTCTGTGCCACTACTCTGGTCACCAGAAAAGTCAATTCATTATCCAGCGGCTCAGTGTCATTTGAATCGGAATTTCCACTGCGTCTATTTTTGTTTCAACTCACCTATAAAAACCTAAATTACAGCCAGCGTTCCATTTCCTTTGGAAGCAATTGACCTCATATAACATTTTCTTTCCAACTCACATTTCACACATTCAAACTATGAAGGTTGAGAAGAAGCCCCCCCCCCCCCCCCCAAAAAAAAAAAAAAATCATTCAACCCATTTCTCAATCTCTGCGCTTTGGTCAAATGACATTGAAGGGTTTACTTATATTTGTGGTGCAATTTTAGTTTTTGCCACCCGGAAGTGTGTCTGACGTCATGCCGAAAAGGTTTACAGCTTCCCATTATTACGGTAAATAGCGAGTAGTCACCTCAAGGGGATGTTGGTGTGCATGAGGACAGTCAGCTGAGTTATGCATCAAATTGCTTCCAATCCCACTGAATAAATTCCCAGTTCTCTAGCGACATCGTGATTACATTCGAGATGATGGCCCTCCGGCTTTGCTGCGGGCGTACAGCGCAAACAAATCATCTGATTGTGACATAATCTTCACGAGTTGGCCAGAGGGCCGCTTTCTGATGACAAGGCAGTAAGCAGCAGCACGGAAGCTGTAATTAACTCATGAACGGTCTTGTGATTCCCAGACAAACTCCCAAAATGCTAATTGGACACAGCAAGTCTTTACGCAACTATGACACAAGCAAATGCAACTTACCCATTCCCGAGATCATCGATATCCACATCATCATCATCATCATCATCCTCATTGGGACTTTTCCCACCAAGGTCACTGTCGCTCAGGTAATCTCGTTTCATCAGGGACGGATCCGTGTCATCCAGATCTTCGATGAGGTGGATGCCAGAAGTGTGGCTGATCCGGAGGGCAAGATCTGATTGGGTGTTGACCGTAGATGGGGCGTCGCCAGCCTGCAGACGCGGGCTTGCTTGACCGTGGTGCCATGACAGTGGAGAGGAGCGATTGGATAGACTGGAAATGGAAAATGCAGCAGCTTCATCACTGTCGTAGCACACGGTCCCCGCCAAACAGCTATAGAATGAGAAAGATGGTGTTTGAACTATGACGTTGATGATGGGGGAAAAAAATAAATAAATTGCCATTCTGGTCCTTCAATCAAAATTTTTAATACCACTGTTTGAGAGCTCAAACATATTTGTTTTTCTTTTCAGTTTGTGATCTGATTAGATTGTGAAGGTGGACTGTTATGGTAGCTGAGTGTACAACAGTGGTGGCCGACACACAATCAGAAACACTGAACTACATTGACGTGTTATAGCAAGCCAAGCAAGCTTTATTCTTAAAGCACAAACTAAGTCAATGTGCTTCACATAATTCAAAGTACAACATTCAAAAGCATTTACAAACACAAAAAGTAGATTATTAAAATAAAAAAGTTCTGTCTCAGGACAACATTTTGGAAAAAAACTTAAAATGGCAGCAATTTCAAATTGTGTTGGCTGAAAATTTTGAGTTCATCCAACTTTTCTTTCATGCCCTGGTTGGTTAGCGCAAGCCAAGTTCGACTTCAGCTGTGAGACGCACACATTAAATAAGCACCCCTGCTTGGTGAGTATGACTTATTTTGTGATGTTTTAAAAATATTGCTGTCAAGTGATTGAATACATATTGATTCTGAACTGCTCCAGACATGTCTAGCATAGTCATGTGCTGTCACATTGCATTTTTGCACAGTATTTATGGTATTTATAACTGCGACAGTGGCAGTGGTGGTATTCAGATGTGGGTTAACAGGTAAATGTTTTTTTATCCACCTATCAGAGAAAACATGACACATACATTTTCCCTGGACAATTTGGAGAATGTCTTGAGTAAGGCCAAAAAAGTGGTGTGCGGTTTTGACAGCACTGCCTAGTATGAAAAGCAAAGAAAATGTCTTCCATCAGGGAAGCATCTGCTGATTTGCTCTTCTTCATGTAGGGGAGCTCGACACTGAAGGGCAGACAGCGTGAGAGAGGATGCGTGACAGGTGAGGCATGCACCCAAGGATGAAAGATACACATGCGCTGACTTCCTAAACGCAAGCCAGTGGTTTAAAAAAAAAAAAAAGCAGAGAGCAAACGAAAGACATGCGCATAATCAAGAGCATTAGTGGTTGTCTTTTTGAGCCGTGTGAGCCTGCATGGGTGCCTTTGAAGGCAGCGTTAAGGTAATCCCACATCAATTCTGTTGAAATTGAACAGAGCAGACTAGGCACTAAATGACAAAATAAACGGGTTTCTTTTATTAAGAATTCGATCGGAGAGCTTGCAGGTAGTTAAAGGGGAAATCAAGCCAAAAATGTTTTTGACAATAATATATTCCATCCACCCGTACTAGTCTAAAGACGGTATTGTGATTAATACTGTATTTGTGGAATATGAATTAAGCAGCAAAATCCACCCGTTTATATCCATCTCATGGGGCGGCCATTTTGCGGCTTGCTGTCGATTCAAAATGGCATCACAGTGCCGAAGGGCTCAGGTAATGACCATCACGGTTCACCTGTTTTCTAGGATTGGACATTTCACGTTTGAAAACTGAGCCTTTAGGCACTATGAGATCATTTTCAGTCGACAGCAAGTGCTTTGTTAATCAGAATTTCCATATACAGGCTAGTGGGGGCGCATAGAATATATTATTATTTAAAAAAAAAAAAAAAAAAGACTCCAGCACGCCCGCGACCCTTGTGAGGCTCGGCGGATTAGAGAATGGATGGATGGATGGATGGATGGATGGATGGATGTTTATCTTCGCAATTCGCCGTATTTGCATGTCTGTATGCTTGCGTGCGCCTGTGTCTGACCTGTGGCTCAGCGGAACCCCTCTAAGGCTGGTCATTGTTTCCTCCAGGTTCTGTCGCAGGTCCAAGACATTTTGCACTGTCTTCTTCCTCTGGGATTCTGGGTCTGCAGCAGTGCACGCAAACAAATACAAAGGGATATTTTAAGACACTGCAGCATTTTTTTTAACACCGACAACATCCATCCAATCATTTTCTGGACTGCTTTTTCTCAACGAGAGTCACGGGATGGAGTTTAACTCAGTACACTTTGGACAAGAGGCAGGGTACCCGCTTGTTTGGTCACCAGCCAATCACAGGTCACATGTAGACCAATGTTAGAGGATAATTTCGGAGTCGTCAATTGACCTGACAGAAACATGTTTTGGAAAATGGAGGATGCCGGAGCACAACAGCAAAACTGTGAAGCAGATGTGCAAACCACTTGAGCACCGTATCATCAATGACATCATCGACATGTTAAATTCTAAGTGAAAGACACATGCAGATGTGGTTCACTGTTATTATTGTAGAATGTGAAGAAAAAAACAGAGAAAAAGCAAAAAAAAGAGGAAATGACATCACATACAGACTGCAGAAGTGTCCTATAAGCGAACTCTGACACATTGCCCGTCAGAAAATAAACCAAAAGCCTCTCACTGAGGTTCATAGTGGCATTTGTCTCAGTCCCAATTATTCTGTAATCTTCTTGGGTTGCAAAGATTCATGCTGAGCAGCTGTTTATCGAGTGTGTGTGTGTGTGTGTGTGTGTGTGTGTGTGTGTGTGTGTGTGTGTGTTTGTGTAGGGGGGGGGGGCAATTTGCCTCTTGAGGCCCTCCCCAGGGACTTTCCAGTAGAAGATGCAGTGAGGGACAGTAAAATCTAAATCAGCTTTAAAGCACATCCTTGCAGCTTAGCGACACGGACACCATGCCTGCATGTTTACAGAAAAGCTGCATCAACATTTTAACCTTGAAAGCATCATTTCTGCATGAATGAAGGGCAATTTTTATGAGTGGTGAGCAATGGGAAAATAACTTGTCTGTGACTGTTACGAGCGCTGAGGTTCATGGCTGGTCAGGCACTGATAGTACAGTGAGATTTAGAAATTTATTAGCCAAACTCGGTGCTGCATTTGCCACTAAATTAGTAGCCGGACCTCCAAAATTTTTTGAAAAATATATCTCGGCATTCACAGACAAAATAAATGGCTAGCGGTTCTAGCGGTTGAGAGAGACCTTATTATATAGTGCAATTTCTTATTTATTTAAAGGTTTACTCGTTGTATAACAAAGTGTCACGCAGAAAAATTAACTGGCTAATACAGTGGCACGGACGGAGGCTCCCTGCCGTAGTGGCGATGCAGAATCCTGTCTGCCTCACCTCACATTATATCTGCAGTTTTAATCAACCAGTCAAGCACAAATACAAAATACCGGTACATCAGAATGACTGGAAAATAGGAATGTACTGTATATTGCAAGTGTCTGAAAACAAAGTATTTGCCAAAAGCTTGCCAAAAGCCTCCTCTGCTGGAGTACACAAATATTTCCACTAGGTGGTTCTGTTGCGCTTTTCAACATCTGCTTTTCGCGAGAGATCACCAATTTGAGGTGAGGCTAGCTGCTCATGCCGTACTTCTCTTCTCACCAATGTCAGATATTTGAACAGGAAAAATATACATTTCAGCAATTTAATACCAAAACCATGGACATGGTTTCAAAAAGAAAATCAATACAAAACCAGAGAACTAAAATGGAGAATCATTTTACGCTTTTTTTTTTTTAACCACTCTGCATTCTGATTTGATCAACTAGATCAGTGGTTCTCAACATGGGTTCGATCGAACCTCAGGGGTTCGGTGAATGGGCTTCAGTGGTTCGACGGAGCCTCTGTCATGAAGGTTAAGACACACCCGACCCAAAACGTCAATTACTGTAGTTATGCACACCCACTTGGCCATCCCTGGCTGCAGATGATCACATTACATTGCTTGTCCAATCAGTGCTGCGGGAAATTTAGTTCGCTCAGTCGTCAACATGTGACTGTCGTGATCGTGCGTCGCGTGATTAGTTTTTTTAGAATTTTTTAAATACGTGCTTACTACGTCGAAAAAAAAAAAAAGGTCGGACAAATATTTACAACATGGATTCACATGCATCACTGAAAGTGATGGGACTCAGCGTCTTATCTGCATGATTTGCCATGCCAAGTTGAGCAACACAAAACTGAAAGAACACTTCTTGAATCATATTTTTATTTTTCCCTAATGAAGGGTTTGGTGAATGTGCATTTGAACTGGTTGGGTTTGGTACCTCCAACAAGGTTAAGAACCACTGAACTAGACCGTTGCAAAGGTGTACAAAACCGAAAAATACGTGTCAAATCACACACACACACACAATAAGCTAATCAAGCCACTATGACGTCTGCACCCTGTCTTCCTTGTGTGCATTCAAGAGTGTGAAAGGGGGTGGTGATAAAAGAGATGTAATGGTAAGATAAGGGACAGTCTGTTCACTCTCTTCAATAGCCAATTTCAACTGAGCAGCTGACCCCACGCAGAGTAAGATGAGTCAAACTAGAAGCAACGGGTGGGGAACAAAAAGAGAAATTTGTCATGACTATATCAGAGAGACCCCCGTGTGGCCGCCAGCTGGAGCGCTTGACTCAATTTCAAAAAGGGACATAATTCTTAATAAATTTCTGTCTCATTGCAAACATTACCACAAAAAAAAAAATAGCCAATTTCAACTGAGCAGCTGACCCCACGCAGAGTAAGATGAGTCAAACTAGAAGCAACGGGTGGGAAACAAAAAGAGAAATTTGTCATGACTATATCAGAGAGACCCCCGTGTGGCCGCCAGCTGGAGCGCTTGACTCAATTTCAAAAAGGGACATAATTCTTAATAAATTTCTGTCTCATTGCAAACATTACCACAAAAAAAAAGCTGAATCCGATCAAATATTTATAACAAAACAAGAAATGCCGATCAGTGAACTCCCTGCCTTAAACAAGCGAGTCCAGATGGCGAGTGAGGAGATGAAGTGGGGGAACAAGCCTGCTTGAATGAGAAGGCAAACTATGTGTTGATCGCAACAACAGCTGCAGACAGAACACCGCAAACATACAAGTGTGGTGTGTATACTCGGATGCGCGCGCACACGTCAACACACGCAGGAACACTTGGCTCATACCCCTCCAGGTCAAGGATTGAGTCCCCCAAAGGAAAAATGGCCACAGACAATTGAGCAGGCAGCCCCCAGAGACGGACAGCTCATTGAGGAAATGATGAGCTCCAACCGCCGGCCACTCACGCGATGTTAACAGAGAAACGTAAACTGGAGCACATCATTTCTTTCAGTGCTGTAGAACCGCTCTGTTTTATGAGGGAGAGTATAGAATAGACAAAAATAGCATTCGCCGCTCACAAACACATAAAAGAATCCGTCAGACAACGACAAAATAAAAACTGTGGCACACAATAAAAAACCTTCCATTCACTAAAACATCTCTCAGGCACACCAAAATAACTCACACTAACCACTGTCTCACACAACAATCAAAAAGGGCTCTAAAACGCAGAAAAGGAAATCTTACATGCACCAGTCGAAAAAAAAAAAAAGGTCGGACAAATATTTACAACATGGATTCACATGCATCACTGAAAGTGATGGGACTCAGCGTCTTATCTGCATGATTTGCCCTGCCAAGTTGAGCAACACAAAACTGAAAGAACACTTCTTGAATCATATTTTTATTTTTCCCTAATGAAGGGTTTGGTGAATGTGCATTTGAACTGGTTGGGTTTGGTACCTCCAACAAGGTTAAGAACCACTGAACTAGACCGTTGCAAAGGTGTACAAAACCGAAAAATACGTGTCAAATCACACACACACACACAATAAGCTAATCAAGCCACTATGACGTCTGCACCCTGTCTTCCTTGTGTGCATTCAAGAGTGTGAAAGGGGGTGGTGATAAAAGAGATGTAATGGTAAGATAAGGGACAGTCTGTTCACTCTCTTCAATAGCCAATTTCAACTGAGCAGCTGACCCCACGCAGAGTAAGATGAGTCAAACTAGAAGCAACGGGTGGGAAACAAAAAGAGAAATTTGTCATGACTATATCAGAGAGACCCCCGTGTGGCCGCCAGCTGGAGCGCTTGACTCAATTTCAAAAAGGGACATAATTCTTAATAAATTTCTGTCTCATTGCAAACATTACCACAAAAAAAAGCTGAATCCGATCAAATATTTATAACAAAACAAGAAATGCCGATCAGTGAACTCCCTGCCTTAAACAAGCGAGTCCAGATGGCGAGTGAGGAGATGAAGTGGGGGAACAAGCCTGCTTGAATGAGAAGGCAAACTATGTGTTGATCGCAACAACAGCTGCAGACAGAACACCGCAAACATACAAGTGTGGTGTGTATACTCGGATGCGCGCGCACACGTCAACACACGCAGGAACACTTGGCTCATACCCCTCCAGGTCAAGGATTGAGTCCCCCAAAGGAAAAATGGCCACAGACAATTGAGCAGGCAGCCCCCAGAGACGGACAGCTCATTGAGGAAATGATGAGCTCCAACCGCCGGCCACTCACGCGATGTTAACAGAGAAACGTAAACTGGAGCACATCATTTCTTTCAGTGCTGTAGAACCGCTCTGTTTTATGAGGGAGAGTATAGAATAGACAAAAATAGCATTCGCCGCTCACAAACACATAAAAGAATCCGTCAGACAACGACAAAATAAAAACTGTGGCACACAATAAAAAACCTTCCATTCACTAAAACATCTCTCAGGCACACCAAAATAACTCACACTAACCACTGTCTCACACAACAATCAAAAAGGGCTCTAAAACGCAGAAAAGGAAATCTTACATGCACCACAAAAAAAAAAAAAACTATAATGGAAAAACAAAATAGTCTCAAGCGCCAAAAAAATATTCTTTTTCACACGCACAAAAAATAAACTTTCATGCACCAAAAAGAGTTTCACATGCAGAAAACTCGCAACAAAAAGCTTCTTAGACACACAAAAACTCACACATAAACACAAAAGCATCTTTCACACTCATGCCTAAAAACTTTCACCGCAAAAAAAATCCTCTCTCTCT